GCGAATCTCGAAATTTATAATAACTAGGAATACTTTTTTAGTATCACTTTCGAAATGGTAAATATTAAGCTTAGATTTATTACATATTATGTTTGTAAAAAATTATAGGTAAAATTAAAATGCATTAAATTTTAAGCTAAACTGAAGTATTAATTTTAGAAATAAATTTCTTAAAGGCATAATTGTATTAAGAATTTTAAGGGAAACAAGGCTTTAAAAATTAAGGTCAGTTGGCAAAGTTTTATGCTTATTCAAAAAGCATGACATTAGGTTTTTAATGAAAGACTTCTATCTGTTAATTCAAAGGAAATTATTTGAAGGTAAGTAAAAAGTTATGCATTATTTCAAACAATAGCAGACTGTTGACAAACACTGAGTGCAGATAAGAATAAAAAAATTAGTTAGACGTTGTAATTCAAGCGTATGAACAAAATTTGAATTCCTTGTAGTAACAAAATGAAGTTCATTGCTATGTTGAATTCTTTAATTTACTGAAAATGTCATTTTTTAGAAGGAGAGAATATATTTTTGAAATATGAAGAACAGCTGTTCTGAGTTCTTCATAGAAATATTTCACAAAATGTCTTTTACTGTAATAATATGATCATATCAACATGCAACACGTTTACTCATATAAGTTAAATCTAAAGCAACATGTGTCTATTTTAGCTAAAATTACTAAAAAGAAAGTTCTAGAACATATCTTATTAACTGACACTAAAACATGCAAATAAAACATACTATTTTTTTCAGCTATTTTACAGGGCAAATATAAGGAGTAGCATATCAATTTGAACTTTTAAATTAATCAAAATGATAATATGAAAGGCCTTTCAATAATATCAGACATAAGTTTCTCTTCATAAAACAAAAATACTCTGCAACAGACTAATGTTACTTTTTGAAAAAAGAACATTGCTGTTGAAAGCACATCTTTTAAATTAATGCTATTCTGAGGTCAAATTGACTAATTTAAAAAGCCAAACTATTATGCTTCACTTGCATATATCTGTATAATGATATACACATGAAGATATTGTTTTACTCAAAACATCTTGATTTCAATATATTTTATTATAATAAGCATCATTTTAGACAAAAAAAATCTACTACTTTTATAAACATATCCTTTAGTATTATCTATGAAAAATATATTCTACACACATAATTACTTAATGGGATATTAGAAGGAAATAATCTGAAACCTTTACAGATACAACCATTGGAATTTTACGTAAGAAAAGTATCTTCTACTCACATAATAACTTGCTATAATAATACAAGTAAATAACCTGTAACGGTTACAGATATATCTGTTGAGATTTTACATGAGAAAAACATGTTCTTTCTACATAATTATTTGCTGTAATATTACACGCAAATAATCTGTAACCATTACAGATATATCGTTTGGGAATTTACATGAGAAAAATATGTTCTACTTACATAACTATATGCTGTGATATTACAAGAAAAAGATCTGTAACCATTACAGGCAAAACTCTTGTAATGTTACAAAGAAAACACCTGTTTCTGTTACTCAAATAACCCATGGCATCCCAGTTTCCATGAGTTTTCTTAGTAACTTACAGATTTTTTTTTTACAGTGCATGCGTTTTCCTGTGTGTGCTCCAAATGAAAGTAAATCCCTTGCTGTTATCATCGGTATTTTGACGCGGTGAGGTTGTTACTAAGAGCCTTGTTTGTCCTTGTTATTATCTCTTTTTAGTTTCTTATTTTTATTTTACCGCCGGGTAGTTTCTTTACATTAATTGTAATTAATTGTATAGTAAGTTGATAATAAATTCATTGATTAAAAATTATAAACGTACTTTATATTTTATTCATGAGCTCTTAATACACTCTAAAATTTATATGGTTTAAAGAGACACCGATGTTCTGTCATTGCACTTTTCTTTACTCGAAACAACATGAAAGTTTACGGATTCAAACAATTCGATATTAAAAGGAATATTTGAGTGATGTAAAAATCTTATTTTTAGAAATAATAGGGATGTGGGAATTAGACACCAAGAAAGATAGTCACTGATGATTCTTTGATCTCATATTAAGTAACTTAAAAGTGAAAAAGCATTGGATAAACCAATATTAGGATTAACTTGTCAAAGGTTTTCAGATTGTTAACGAATACTTTCTGCTTGCACAGCTAGCCGCATAAAACAATAATTATGAAGAAAAAGAATATATATGATTTTAGTAAGTCCAATAAATGTAATTTCAGAAAAACATTTAATATTTCTAATTAGACATCCCATGATTTAAATGCTTTTTTGTATAAATCATTCAGACTTAAAAGTAGAATCACTGTTCTTAAGAGCTGTATTTATTGTTTTTAAATCACGTGGTTTGTTAACCAGTAACAGACATATTAAATTCAAAAATTAAATATCGTTTGCTTTCTGAGCGGCAACACTTTGTTTGATGATTAAAAGCGGAAACCATTTTGCCGAACGGCAACCGTCTAATGTCTTTGGAGATAATTTTTTATTTCAAACAGTGTTGCCACTGCTCGCTTCTAAATCGCTAAGTTCATTAATCAAAAATTCATTAAATTCGTAAAAAATATGAAATAAATAAAAACAAATTCAAAATTCGAGTTTTGAGGCGCACATGTTCGGACGGAAAACGGTGGTATTCAAAATTCGGATGGTGGTATTCAAAATTTGGTGGCTCTAGGTACCCCCGTTTTTCCCTTTGCAAAGAACATATATATATATATAAATATAATTTGTTTACTAAAGAAATATTGATTATATTATTTCCTAATATAAATTTAGTAGAATGCATCAAACAGAGGGAACCCATATGTAGGAAGTTTAATACCGAAAATTGTGTTTTAAAGGAACTTGAATGTAAATCATGAAAAAAACGTTTTAAGGGTACTTGAATTTAAATAATGAATAATAAAATTTCAAACTTTAAAAAAGAAATTAAAAAACAAGTAATTATCGCTATTGATCGGAAATTAGTTGACTTTTCAAGGGGAACAAACCAACTCCCGTTCAATGAACAATAATTAATAAATGCGAAGGTGTTTCGTCTTTTACTCAAGTAAGAATGATGATGTCAAACTGGCAAATTAAGTTAGGCCAAAATTGTAGTTCCGTGAAGTGATGGGATTATAGCCAAAGTAAAGTATCAAAGAACTCATTCTGAATGAAGCATTTTCGCTTAACAAGATTCTTTAAAAATTTTGAGTGAAAAGTCAATTTATGTAGTAAAATTTACAAGATATTTGAGTAAATGTCCCTCGACACCTTCGCTTTTATGCATATTAATTCAAAACTATTTTTATAAAAATAAACATAATAAACAGTAGTAATCTTAACTGGAATTATGAAATAGAACTCAAAGTAATTGAAAGAAACATAACTATGTTATCTTTTCAAAAACAAATCAAATAAAAGTTGAAAAATTGAATTATATGTAATAAGAAAGTGAAATGTGAAATGTACATGAAAATATAAAAGGGCAGAAAATGCATTAATTAAGTTTTTTCTAGTGGGATGTCGGTAAAATGTTCTCTTCTGTGCCTCACTCAGAAGTTGTGTGTGTCCGAAATTCCGTTATCGGCAGTGAGGTTACTTTGAATTAGGCGGTGAAACTTTTGAGAAGCTATTTGGGGACGTGGGAGGGACTAGGAATGTTGGAGGGAGGTTTGTTGAGGAGTTCTTATGCGAGTGAAAACGTGTGTTAAAATTTTGAATATACTAACTAGTGAATGGAAATTAATTAATTTCTGGATAATTGTCGTGTCGGAACGAGGTAGAAAAGAAGAAAGAACGTAGTTTTCGCTGTCAACGAGGCTCAAATGTGAAATAGGCTAATTTTTTTAGTAACAGTATAGAAGAAATGTCTGAAAACAATTTTTTTACATTATATACAATTTTGTAATTACACTATGTACAAATCCTCCTACATATAGTCATCCAACTTATACCGCCTTCTCAGGTTTAGGAACAAATTGTCATATCCTTATCAATTAAATGATTTAGAGTGAGTATTTAACGCCTGCCCTTTTAAGACAATGATTAATAAATCGATTAGGTATTAGATTATTTTTGAGAATTGGAATAAGGAGCAAAATTTCGCGTTGTAGATCTATCGTATCTGTGCAAATATTTTTAATACGTTGTATTTGATTTAAGATAGTATTACTAATAACGTTTTTGGAGATGTTGGAAGTCCAATTTATTAATTTGTTGCCTTTGAAATTGAAGTTTCTTGTTTTGTCAAACAGTAAAATTTTTTTGTAGTTTTGAAGATCAAGATAGTCGATATTATTTTGCGAATGATTAGTTATATTAAGTGTAAGATCATTCTATATATATATACTACAATCAAAAGTAAATATATTAATTAATCGTAATAAATTGCCTAATACTTGCGCAAAAGTTGCAAAGTAATAAAATAGTAACTTATTTACTAATGGATTATTCAGTATATAATCTCCTTTGATAAAGATAGTAGAATTTTAGTGGAATGAAGTAACTTATAAACACATCTAAAAAATGAAGCTTGGAAATTAAGTATATATATATATATATATATATATATATATATATATACTTACTTACTTCAGTATACAGATCCGTCATTGTTTAATAAGAGATATAAAGTGCAATTTTGATGAAAAAAAAAACTCATCATCAGGTAAGTAGCTTGCTTATCATCAGGTAAGTAGCTTGCTTAGTTCGCAAAAATTAGCATTTAAATAAGCAAAATATAAATATTGCTCGAAACAATGCAGCTTTTGTTTGCCCTACGACGAAATAAAATTTGATTTGCGGATTCTCTGATTAAAATGAATTAATTAAAAGTGATTATTTCTTACAACTTATATTCAAGTATTTTAATTAATTTGTTTGTAAAGTTCATATTTGAAAATATGCCGAAATAAAACTGTTTTACATATTTTCTTCATATTTTACAATTTTAATTTTAATAGAAGTAAATTAAAGATTTTTAAATATTTTTAGGAACTTGGTTGTGATCGTGTTATCAATTATAAGACGGAAGACTTCGCTGAAGTATTATCCAAGGAATATCCGGTAAGTATATTTTTTATTTTTAAACAATTAAATAGGATTTAAAAAATGTGTGTTTAAAACACTTCTCAATAAATAAAAATAATCCATACTATTATTAATAATGTTCATTTTTATGTCTGACTCAGAGTGATATAACATCAGATAATTTAACTATACGATAGAAAGAATAGTTAAATTTTTCTAATCTTTAAGTAGACGCACGTTTGGTTCCAAATTGTTGGGAAATTCGCATTTATCCCTTGCGGCTTCGCAGTGTGGAAGATGCACAGAATTCAACGCTATATAATCCCGCGGCAGAAGCCAAAAAGATGTCTCTCTCTGTCTCTGTGTGCTTGATGAGATTGTGTGTCCTCCCAACGTCCTGTTATCGACGTTGCCAGTAACCACAATTCACTTCAGCGTAGTGCGGAGATCTCATGTATAGAATCCTGACGTGGAAAAGATCTGTCGAAGATTACAATGGAAGTAAGAATCTAACTGAATATTTCAGACAGCATTTATAGCAAGTATCATATGGAATTGTTGCTACCAACTACCTGCGAACATACCATTGAAGTTAATCGATCGTTTATCCATCCTCCCATCTTCTTAATGTTATGTTTATTCTTCATATGTAATACGTTGACATATTTTGTTCATCGGTTCTGTTAAGCTCACCCATTAATGTTTATGTTTAACTTACAGCATGTATGTTCTTTTGGTAAGGAACCATGTTTCAAACTAACCCAAAACTTTCATCATTATCAAATTAAAATTAAACACAAATTAGATATGAAACATTTTAGGTAGGTAATGTTAATAGGAAATTGTCTTAAAAACATTACATTTAAGCAATATTTTATATTACATTTAAGCAACTTAAGGAAATATTACACTTATTTAAATATAATTTTAATGCATTATTTTAATATGTACTGCTACATTAAAGGCCACTGTACAATAATCGCTTCATTGACTAGCGAAGTTTCAATACGGATTCGAATATCTACAAATGTCCCAATGATAGTCGATGAAATAATCAACTGATGTAATAAACTTTTGCAAGGAATTGGTAAAATACAAGCCTAATTAATATAAAATTAAAAGGGTTCAAACGGCTTCTGCTATGCAAATCAAAGCATTACGTCATCTGATGGTAAATCAAGTGTTTTACATACAGTTAATATCTGAGAAAATTTCTGCAATACAGAGTTTGATTTGAGTGTGTAAGGACTCAAAACAGTTTGTTACAGCTTCGAAGTATCATTTGGAAGAATCTATGAAATGGCAAATCATCGGCCATTTAGAAGCAGTTATATTTGCGAATATTTCATAGCAAACAGTTTCTATACGATGAAAACGATTTCAAGGCCTTATAATTATTGTACGGAGAGCTGGACAAGCTCGTAAACGAATAACAACTCCTTCTCAACATCGATATTTGTCAATAGATGCCCGACGTAACGGGAAGTCTACTGCTCGGCAGTTAAGTTCAGAGCTTGCAGCCACCACTGGATTTGTTGCATATCACGGCAAACAGTGCATTAAAGGCTTACTGAATCAAGGATACGTATTTCGCCGTCTTCACAATAAAAGAGGGATCGCTTTAATTGGGGCAAAGAAGTAGTGGAGTGAACAAGTATTGTTCAGTGTTCTCTTTACTCATCAGTTCAACATCTGATTTTATTTTATGTAACACCTGATTCTAAACGCGTGTACATCTGGAGTGAGTCAAAAACGCGGAATCCTTCTACGAACATTAAAGAACATGATCGTTTCGGTAATCTATGGGGAGGAATAATGATCGCTGTTTTCAACAGCGGATATATGACTGGCATAGGTATGGGGATGAGGCCTGAGAAACTTATGTAAGGTTTTTCCGAAGTGCCTATGGATCTGAATTATTTTATGTATGAATGATAATACTCATCCACATCGAGGGAACTGACGATTTAACTAGAAAAAGAGCTTACTAGACTACCATGGAAAAACAGTTGCACGAACACATCTTCCTCCTAGAGATGCAAATGCCTTGAAGACCTCATTGCTGTAGAAGTAGAACAATAATTCTCCAAATTATAGTTAACAGTGTTATTACCAGCATGAAAACACATTGCTATATATTGTGTATAAGTTAGAGGAAATCACATTCCATATTAAATTCTTAAACCTTAACATTTTATGAGTTATTCTCTTATGCTGTGAACTCTGTAACATGCTATTAACATTTTTATTAACATTTTTATGGTTTAATACTGCAGTTTTATATCGTATATAATTCTCTTTATTTTTTTGTTTGTATTTATATCTTATGATGTTATGAATTATTCTACGCAAATTCATAAAATTATGTTTCCCAGTTTTTGAGAAACTCATGATTTCATGCATGTACACATAATTTCGGACTTCAGTGTATACACTGTGTAGTAAAAGAAAAAGCGACTGCAATGAATTAGTTTTAGTGTTTCATTTCAGTGTAATATTTTAAAAAATAAGTTATTATTCTACATGAGCTAAGGTAATTATTAGTGAAGATATTAACAATACGAGTAATATATTTTCAGAAAGGTGTATCTGTGATTTGGGAAACTATTGGAGGCAAGGTGTTTGAGACTTGCTTGAAGAATTTAGGCGAAAAGGGCAGGCTATTAATCATTGGAGGTACTTCATCTTACAAATCAGAAAGTGAGAAGGCAATCGGGAATGTGGATATTTCATATGCTCCCCAAATAGTAAGCATAGTTTGGCTAATTTACTTGTCACTCAGTAAAATACTCAGTATATGTATATATTTATCAGTATTCAGTATATATGTATATAAAGAATATATTATGTTACTATATATAATAAAGAAATGTTGATTATATTGTCTCCTGATATAAATTTAGTAGAATGAATTAAAATTAGGTAACCCAAAAGTATGAAATTTAATTCCGAAAAAAATTTTTTTAAAGGAACTTTACTGTAAGTCATAAAAAATTTTTCAAGGGGACCTGAATTGAAATCATGAAGAATAGAAATTTAAACTTTGAAAAAGAAAATTAATAAACCAAGTAATTATTGTTATTGATCGGAAATTAGTTGACTTTTCAAGGGGAAGAAACCAACTCCCGTTTAATGAACAATAATTAAGAAATGCGAAGGTGTTTCGTCTTTACTCAAGTAAGACTGATGATGCCAAACTGGCAAATTTAGTTTTAAGGCAAAAACTGTAATATATATAGTATTCAGTATATATATACCATTTATCAGTATTCAGTATATCTATTTATATAAAGCATATTGTATATAAATATTTTATGGAATCATATAAACTGTATCTACTATATATATATATAGAGAGAGAGAGAGAGAGATGTATATCTATATATATATAGAGAGAGAGAGACATAAAGTAAGAAATTTAGAACTAATATTTCACAAAGACCAAAAATTGAAAGTCATTATTAATAAATTTCAAATAATGCAACAAAAAATTTAAAAAATGTTAAAACCAAAACTTTTCGAACATATTTATCAGTATTCAATATATGTATATGTATAAAATATATTATATATAAACATATTGTGGAATTTTATATATATGTAGTTTTTAGGACTTTATATTTAGAAAGCTATAAAATACATTATAATAATAGTTTAGACGAACAATAGTTTAATCCAGCGCTAGATTTGAAAACACCAATTTGTTTCTTCAAGATATCTGTAATGTCTATTGAAAACATAAGCCTTAACATTAGTTTTTTTTTTTTTTTTTTTATTTAAGTACATGTTTCTTATGATGTTCTCATTGTTTCTTGTTGATTTATTGTTCAAGCATTTCATTAAATACATTTTAACATTATCTCTTTGATTTCTTATATATGTATTTTTGAAAACTTGAGGATGACAATTTTTACTAAAATATTTCACCGTAAAGTCAGATGAATAAATTTATTGTAATTTACATATTTAAAATATGTTTAGTAAATAGCTATAGAATGTGAAAATTTCCAAGTTTTGCGTTTAAGAGTTACATGGTGGCTCGAAAGCAGGTGGATGGAAATTAATACTAACAATGAACTGCGTTTGTCACGAATTTCTAATATGAAATTTTCTTTATAAGGGTGTATGCTTGATGGAGATATGAATAGCCTTCTTTTCTACATGGTACGCTCAAAGACCGATCATTTGTGTGGCATTGTCGCCGTAGAAATCGCCGAAGAAAGCGTACTGTCAAATCCACCAAACATGGACGATGCAGCAATGAATTACTGGCTTGTTCTTCAAAGAAAATCGATTCAGTTTGCAATCTGATTTCAACTCCAGCTTATCTGCATGAAAGATCTAAGGTGTACTAGCAAGGGAGTATATGAAAAAAGAATGGTTATAGTTATGTTGATATGATGATGCGGAGTGGCATCAAGACTAACGAACGTGCTAAGCTAGAGGTCTGGACACTGGTAACTAACAGGCGGCTGCTATCATAAAGAGATTATTGAACATTATGTTCGGACCAGAGCAAAGTAGATTTTCACTGAAAGTAAAGATATTCATAGAATCGACCGGACTGCATGCTTTCTAGACCTAAACCCCATTTAACACATATACGACATTCTGGCAAGACAAACTACAACTCTCAGTCTTTTGCAAAGAAATAAATAAGGCATAATGAATGCTCTAAAAGAGATATAAAAGTCTATTCCATGAACTCGAAAATCACTTCGTAATTATGTTCCATAGCGTTATAATTTTTATATAACACTTTGAGAAGCATATACTTCTAACTAACAAGTCAAATTTACAGTTACATTAAATTTACAAATTACACAAATAACCAATAAACACCAATAAACAATTACACCAATAAAAAACAATTACACCAATAAAAAACAATTACACCAATAAACAACAAGTTAAAACAATTTTTACAATTAAAATTAGAGTTTTTACACAAAAACAAGCAATTCGGTCAGCGGGCAAGAAGGCAGATTTTTCAGTTCACAAAACTGAAAGTTTACTTTTGGTCCCATTCGGCAGAAAGACGTTGAAGGTGCAGAAACTGGCTTAATTCACTATTCTGCTAAGTTTCAAAAAAAAAAAAAAAAGGCTGCTATGGCAAAGAAAATTTAGGCTTAGCCACACTTAAACCACTTTTAAATTGTTGATAATTCTACAACTATTGCATGCAAATTATCAAGACGCATAAAAGCCTTAACCGGAGTTACCATCATATAAAAATAAAAACTCAGCTCACTGAGTCGAGTAACAGAGTGGGTATATATAAATACATATACAGATATATAAGAATGAATAGTAAATTAAATTTAAATAATTCTCTTGCACCATTGCTGCAATACGAATAGAATTCCATACGAATGAGAGAATATTTGTTAAATTCAAATTATATAGATACATATATTTATGTACGTTTGGTGCAGGTGATTGCAACCGAAACAGGAGATGCACAACTGCATGTTATAGCAGTCCTATATACAAAATTTCAACGTTCTGAGGCTATTCGTTGTTGAGTTATGCGAGATACACACATACGTGCGTACAGATGTCACGAAAAAGTCTCTCTTCTGAATCCATTTTAAATCAGTTTTATAATTCGTTTGGGTCCTTACGTACAGATGTCATACAAAAACATCGTTAATTGCATTCGATAGCGGTCAAAATGAATATTTTCGTTGAAATATTATACCCGAAATTTTTCGCGATTACAATACTTCCTTTACTTCATACCAGGAAGTAAAGATTACTGATGTTATGCACGCCTTTGAATTATACCTTGTAGGTTCCTAATTCTTTTTGTCTAAGATGAATCTCGAGGAACCTAATGAACTATGTAGCGACTTATCGTTGAGTTCAAACAACTAAAGACGTAGACTCGAGAAGGGTTAAAATACCCTTCATTTCACTCAAATAATAGTCAAATAACAGTCGGCCCCTTCTCGGGTATACAGGAAGCCTCTAATCGGGCTTTAACTCAGAATAAGAAAAAAGAAGCTAAACTATAATTAACTGAAGGAGACTTAGCCGAAGCTAGACACAATTATCTAACGTAGTTTGCTCTTAAATTAAACCAGCCGGCGAATATCAGTAGGCACGTATAATACGGTTGAGCGTAACAGCTTCAAGAGTGATTTAGCCAGAAGGCAAGCACGCGCTACTGAGGTCTCCTAGCACTCTCTATCGAATTTGGTTGAACTTTCCTTAAATACTTCCTCTAACTCATTTGCATTGAACGCGACTCTAAAACCTCATTCTGGTAGGGAGATGTAGTGGAAACAAGAATTGATAGGAAAGGGTTTCAAAATTAAAATAACTGTTATAAAATTAAAATATACCTTACAATCTATTGAAAGACTCAAAGGTAATTAATTATACCTATTTAAAGGAGCAAATAATTTATCACTGGTAAATTATTTGGTCCTTCAAAGCATCAAGGATATTTTTCTGCTTCCGATTAATAAAAGTTTTTTTTTTTTTTACTTCCTTGTACGAAGTGAAAAAGGGAAGTATTTTAATCGCGAAAAATTTCAGGTATCATATTTCAACGCAAATATCCATTCTGAACGCTGTCGAATGCAATTTAACGATGTTCTTGCCTGACATCTGTAAGTAAGGACAGAATAAAAGACTCTTTTCCACCAAAAAAATTATAAAACCGATTTAAAATGAATTCTAAAGAGAATTTTTTGTTGCGTCTGTGCGTACGTACTTCTGAGGGTACTCGTTGCTTCCGTTTGGCATTCTGAAATGTATCTTAATTTTCCTCAAGACCATAAATGTATTTTAAGGATAGCAAACATTATTTTGGTAAATATTTATTAAAGGAAACTTGTTTTCATTTTTGAAGGATTCAGTTAATGGTGATGTTTACATTAGTGGTGTATATATTAAATGTAATTATTATTTTCAGTTGCTTGCTAAATCTGCAGCTCTTCAAGGTTTTCTTTTACTTCACTTTTCTGAATGCTTCGAAACTTATTTCAAGCATTTAAAAGAACGCATTGAGAAAGGAGAATTGAAAGCAGTTATAGACACTGGAGAGGATACTACAGGAACAGAATTTGTTGGCATGGAAGGTGTTATAAGAGGAGTTGAAGTAAGAGGCTGTTGCTGTTGTGTACCTGTAAAAACTTAAATGTATTTCTTTTCTTATTTAAAATGTTGTTCCTACGGATAAAAGAAAATTCGCTAATAGTAAATCATCTCGAACTTGGAATTTCTAGAAAAATAAAGTGCAGTGCTTATATAGAAAAATTTACGGACGAATTTGAAGCAGAACAAACTTTTTCATTTGCAATACGTGCGTTTCTGTGTGAGTATATATGCATATGTGTATATCTGTATCTCACTGCCTCTCTCTACCTGTCTATCTATCTACTTATTTATATCTATATCTGTACATACATGTAAAACATAAAATATGAAAGCAAACTAGTAAATTTAATTTTGCTACAATCCCTTTTATTCCTCATTTTAATTTCGATACTTTCCCTTTCTGCCCTAAAAATAGTAACTATACACAACATATCTATCTAAACTACGGGATTTCAAAATTAAGTCACATCGTATCCCTGCGGTGTATACCCTTGATAATGCACCATATCACTGTAGGTGCGCTATACAAACCCTAACTTTGTACAGCTTACATCTTGAACAGTGGATGAAATTATAAAAGTAAAACTAGCGGCAAGGCGACCCAGCGGAAAAAAGCAGAGGTGTTGACTGACTGACTGATTTCGTTAATTCAGAATACCGCAAAAGTGCAGTGTCTCTGGATCATTGAATCTAAGGCCGTAAGGCCCATTACATAGATGAGTTCTTCGATAGTTTCCAGCTTTAAATCTCTATATAGCGTAACGTTGCTGATATAATAGTGGACGTTAGCAATAGTACGTAAAACAGAATTTTGGATAAGTTGCAGCCTGTGAATGTCCCTTTTTGTAGCGGCGCTCCAGGCCGGTGAGGTATAAGTGATTACAGGCCTTATATTATGTACATGAGCCGTTTTCACTTTAGTTCCAGGCTCGAATAAGCCGAGGTGTTGCGACTCAATTAACCTTTTATATCATTTTAGATCACGTGACAGATTATGTCCAGATGTTGGATTAAGGTTTCATCGATGAGTGCGCATTAGAACTGCAGGAAATTTAGTTAGAAAAATTGTTGCTCTGTTATTTCTAGAAAGAAGACGGGAATTAAATGGCTAAGTTATTATTTGAAAGATAGATATTTTATATTTTACATATATATATATATAAATATATATATACAGGATGTTGCAGTAAATCGGTTACAAACTTTCAGGAGAGATAGGGTACACCTAGACATTGGAAAAACACTTAGCAATGCATGGTCGGAAACGCTTTCCTGTAATTGTACTGACGACACAAAACACATGAAAGGAAGAACATGAACAGAGTGAGAATATGTGCTTATTATGCTTAGTGCAGCGGAAAACAAGAAATAAGAACAAAATGGACGATCGTCATCAAAGAAGGTGTTCAAAATTACGTTCGAAATATATCCTGAACATGGGATCGGCAGGGGTGGTCCAGTGCAATGGCCAGCATGATCGCCAGACCTCGCTTGGATTGACTACTTCTTTTACGGGATTGACTACTTCTTTTACGGGTACTTTAGGAACTTGTTGCACGCATCGTTGCAGCTGCTGGGGAAGTTCGGGACATGCCGTGTATTTTCCAGAACATCAGATCTTCCATGAGTCGGAAATGTGAGGCCTGCTTCAGGGTCGTACTTTCGAACATCTTCTTTGATGACGATCGTTGTCTATTTTGTTCTTATTTCTTGATTTCTGCTATACTAAGCACAATAGACGTGTTTCTTCACCCTGTTCATGTTCTTCCTTTCTTGTGTTTTACGTTGTCACTACCGCGTCAGGAAAGCCTTTTTGACCATGTTCCTGCTATGTGATTTTCCATCGTCTATGTGTGCTCTATCTCTCCTGATAGTTTTTAACTGATTTGCTAAAAAACCCTGTATATATTCATCTTTCTTTGGCTTGTTATTTTACAGTTTTAAGTACTTTTAAGTAACTGCTATTTTTTTCATTTTACTATATATGGATAAATGTTTTTTAAAAAAATCCCTGTGAATCCCTTCGTAAGACGAATAAGTGTAAAGTGAAGAAACAATTACCAATAACTTTTATCAAAAAAGACAAATAAATAAATAAATAAATAAATAAATAAATAATAAAATAAATAAAAATAAATAAATAAAATAATAAATAAATAAATAAATAAATAAAAAAATAAATAGAGACGCCTAAAATAAAAATAAAAGAAATAATGATATAGATTATACAAATTATACAAATAAAAATTGTTGTTTCATAGCGAGTAGCAATGTGGCTCAAGTTCCGAAGCTGAAAAGAAAATAGGCGGAGTGAAAGCCGCAATGGAGCAGCCTAGGCTGTATAGTGGTTAGGAGAGCATTCTTGCCTACTGAAGGTCCAGGGTTCGAATCCCAGGGAACGCACAGTTGTAATTGTCTGCTTCTTCATAGGAGGTTACGGTGGCCCAAGGTCCGTAGAAAGAACAGATTAGCTCACTTGGAGTAAACAAACGAAAAGCCAGCGACTCGTTTGGCCGTGACGTCACTGAAGTTCGCTGTAGCATCTCGTAATAGTAGTTTCGTATTTCATTTTGAAATATTTTCTGTTTTTCATCGGAAAAGTAAAAATTCTAATATTTGGAATTGAAACTTAACTACCTAAAATATTGTTTACTGTATAGAATAAGTTTTAATTTACGAAAAGTTCCCTCAGTAATTTCTTGTTTCATCGAAAAAATCTTCCAAACTTCCTTATAGAATTTGCCTATTCAAGATTCAGTTGTTTATACCGTTACTCATTTTAGCTTCAACAGACTGAAAACCCACATTTCACAAAGAACTGGAAAATATGTTGTGTAGTCAGAGCTTAAATTGTGCCGGCTCCGGTACTTTCAGTTCATGGGATAAAATGATAATTCTAGCCGGAGCGCATCGGAGCCCTAGGCTCCGGCACTTCTTTTTATGTAATTAACGGAACTACAATTTCAGTAGAAATTTAATCTCAAATATTTTATTTTTAGCAGCAATAAAATTATATTAAAAACCGCTTATTAAATGTTAATTTACCTCCTTACATTTTATTGAATTATTTTAATAAATAATAATCAAATATTAATTAATGGTTAGATAATAATTAATAAATATTAATTGCTAATATTAATTAAATAATTATTTATTAATTTTGATAATAATTAACTATTTAATTTTTAAATGATAAATGATTTTAATAGTCATTTTATTTATTTATTTACTCTTGTTCCTCTTTACTAACGGTCTTCCATAGGGTTCCGGCACTTCTAATTTTAGAAATTAAGCCCTGAGTGTAGCGATATAGAAGAAATTCAAATTAAGAATATTTATTCTATAAAGCTGTAACAAACTTGTCCCTAATGTTTGGAATCTAATTTGGCTGAAATTTTAATTAATTTTTTGCTAAAGCCTACTTTCGGTCCAATTGTTTCTCTGCAGTACTTGCTTCATTTAGAAATCTTAGTTTACTTGTGGCTTTTTTTTTTTTTTTTTTTTTTTTTTTTTTTTTTTTTTCAGATGAACTCGCATGAGCTTTTCCTGTAATATATGATTAATTTTAATAGATTAAAAAAAAAAAAAAAGAAAAGAAAAGAAATTGCATAAAATTTTAAGTGGCTAGATTCTAAAACTTGTTTATAATTTCTTGATGTAAAGCAGCAACAAGAAACATAATCAAATGAACTATTCAAGCTATAACTGAAAGGAAGTGTAATACTTAATCAGCAGACTCTTTAAAATCGGGTTTCTATACCTATGAAATAATACATTTTGCCGATTATTTTTTATTTTGCCTGCATTATTGGTGCATAATGCAATCGCGCAGTGCGTACCAACCATTATACTACATAAATTTAATTATATTTGAGAGAAATAAAAAAAAAAAAAAGAATGAGTTTCCACAGTCGCGCACAAGCTTACATTCAGCTTATAAATCAATGCAAAAATCTGTGTTGATCTGAGGAGAGAAAAGTTCAGTGAAGTCACAGCCAATAGACAGCGAGAACGCATTTTCGTTTGTTTACCCCAAGTGAGCTAACCTGTTCTTTCTACGGACCTTGACGGTGGCTCATGTATTAGGTATTTCCACAATAAAGTGAACATCACTTCCGGCCTATGCCTAAGTCGGCTAAGTATTTGCCAAAGGAGAAGAAAAAAAGGCCGTATGATGTGCTGAGCCGTTGAGGATTCGAAAGTGAGAGATACAAGGCCTAGAGTGTTGGAAAGAAATATCTATCATCTTATAATTAGTCATAGTTATTAGACCACTGTAACTACAATTTCTGGGCCTGTCTAGCTTAATTAAATGTCAAAATCTGAAATTTATGTTGGGATCTGGCTAATGGGAAAAGCTTGAAAGTAAGGTAATACATTAGACCAGGGGTCTCCAAACTACGGCCCGAGGGCCACATCCGGCCCGCGGACAGATTTTGTCCGTCCCGCGGAGAGCTAGCATACTTGAAAACTCCTTTTAGAGAACATATTTTTTATAGAAAATTAAATTTAGTTTACTGAAGTATTATAATTTTATGTTGAATAATTATTAATATGACATCTACATTGATATGGTCATGGGCTAACTACTCATAACATTGTTGTAGGCTTATTGTTATTGTTTTTGTGATAAGTTGGATAAAGAAACACAGAACTGTAATGAGTAAAGACATGTATAATATGCAGAAAATTTAACTTCAGTATATAATAACTAACAAATTATTGAAATGAATCCAACTAACATTTTATACATTTTAAATAAAAACATAACTTAATAAAAAGTATAATGACATATGAAATACTAATGAGATTTATGTAATTGAGATTTTCCACTGAGAATAGTTTGTAGTTGTGGACTAATTTTACTTGTACCAATTATTAAAAGAGATTTAAGATGCTCATCAGTTAATTTAGATCTGTAAACATTTTTTGTGTACTTCATTTTGGAGAAGGTCTTCTCACACAAATAAGTAGTACCAAAAACAGAAAACAGCCCACGAGCAAATTTATGCAAAATTATCAAATTGTGTCAGTGGAAGACTCTTATAAAATTCCAAACAAGATGAGTTTTTGATATTTGTTCTTAATTATATCACTGCACTGTAGATCAATCATTTCCATTTGAAGTTCCGGGGCTAGGGTTTCAATGTCAGTATCAAAAGGATTCTGAAAAATCTTAATTTGATTCGCAATGGCATCAAAGTCCGAGAAACGAGTATCAAAATTTATTTTCAAATCACTCAAAGTTTCGATTGCAAAATCGGTAGGAAACTCAGTCTCAGTGGTGTTGGCTAAATATTTCACATGTTTTAAAATGTGAAAAACATTTACTTCGTAGTTGTGATTGAAACAGTATCAATTTCTTCCGGAATGATTTGATATTAGTGTATAAATCAGGAAGATGCTGGTTTTCTCCTTGCAATCTCAAATTCAGTTCGTTCACATGTTTTGTCAAATCAACATAGAATGCTAACTTCCACAGCCATGCGTTGTTTTGTAATTCAGTAAGAGGGCGATGCTTTTCATTCAAAAAAATTTCGATCACTGCTCGAAGTTCAAAAAAGCGCTGAAGGACTTTCCCACAACTAAGCCAACGTACGGCAGTATGATAAGGTAAGTCATTTTCTCCAATCTCTTCAATAAATTGTCGGAATTGTCGGTGATTCAGCCCAAAAGATCTGATAAAATTAACAGTTGATATGACTGGTTTCAGAACTTCAGACATATCCAAACATTTTCCGCACAAAGACTGTTGATGAATGATACAATGTAAGACTAATGGTTTTGAACCACCGTCATTTTCTACAGCCTTTGACACAAGAGCGACCACTCCTTTATCTTTCCCACTCATGTTTTTGCCTCCATCAGTTGTAATACATTTCAAGTTTTTCCATCGAAGGTTCTTTGATTAATGGCCATTTCAACTCCTTTAAAAATATCTGTACCAGTAGTTGTGCCATGAATACTATACATATCAAGAAGTTCTTCATGCATTTCATAGCTTTTATCTACTCATCGAATATAAATCAACACCTGAGCAGTATCTGACACATCCGTTGACTCATCCAAGGCCAAAGAAAACCACTCAACATGTCCATTTTTGTCGAACAGTTGAGAGGATATATTTTCAGCGATGTTTTGTACCCTTAGAGCCACAGTGTTTGCTGACATACTGACAGTTTTTAATAAATTTACCTTTTCAGGGCATATTTCTTCGGCTACTGCAATTATGCATTCTTTTGCAATTGCAATATGCAAAGGGATCATTTCCATCGGTGAATGGTTTTTCCACGTTTTGCAATTTCAAGAGCCACACGAAAGCTGGCACGAGTTGCAGCCTCTTGTTCAGTTTTGAGTTTTGTAAATGGAGATTGCTGCGATTTCAATCCGCGCTTCATAGCTTCAAATTTTTCTGTCGCAAACTTCCTGTATATTTTGAGTAATTTTGAAAATGTTTTGTTTCATAATGACGTTTAATGTTATATTCTTTGAGAACGGCTATGCTTTCATTGCAAATCAAACATAGCGCCTTGTTACTGGACTCAATTACGAAATACTGAATGTTCCACTGATCTTTGAATTTTCTGCATTCACTATCAATTTTTCGCTTCTTTTCCATACTACTAAATCACACACAAAAGCAACAATTCAAATCAAAATACTGTTACAAAGATGTCTTAACTTAAACACGCACAAACACGTTTTAAGGAGGTACGCACTATTTTATTTCACAACAGTGTCATAGGAACTGACTTCAGTACGTGCTATTAGCGCCATCTGTTAGCGATAGAAGGTACTACCTATTTCCACTTGTGTCCACCAGATGCGTGTCACGTTACTCCTCCTGGCTCGTACCTACGACTAATCTAGAATTACAGATAATGACAGGAAAATTAATGCAGTCAAAAGTCGTTAATCCGGACTCTTCGGGACTTCGGCGATTCCGGATTATCGATTTTTCCGGATTATAGATCATCAGTTTAAATCTGGTAAGATGGCATGCAGAAATTCTAAAATTTAAAATATGAAACCGTAATTTATGAAATAAAGAACAATTATGATCTAAAGGGTATCAAAATTTACAAAAAAAAAAAAAAAAGCTTAATATTTATTTGTTTACTTTATTAAACATTTCTTTCAATGTAAGTTGTTTCGTGTTATGTGATAATACTTTCTCTTTAATTCTATAAACAGACATAATTTCTTGTTCAGTTAAAAAGCTCCCGCTGTTCAAGTCCCCTAATTGCGGTGCCGAGAATACCGGACTAACTTGTCAATCGAAATTTTTTTCGTTTCACTAACTCTCTGTCACCTTCTTCATGTCTTTATCCTTTTGTTTGACGGAATCGAGACATACTTTTCGTTTTGTAGATCCTTTGGGAGCTCCAAATCGGAAATTGGCATAATCGAAAGTCAAGTTTACTTTTATAAAATTGCTCTTACAATCTGCAAAAAATAATAAGCTGCATCCAGTTCGAAATAAGGTATAAACGCAAGCATAACATTAATGAAATATATAATTGTATAATTTTAGTTTATATCGTCCGTTATACGTTAAACGCGCACGCGAAAACGTATTCTGCACTTGCGCACACGCATTGCGCGTGCGCGTAAAGGTCTTACGCGCACGCGTAAACGCCTATGCGCATGTGTCAACGCGGCGCATGCGCAGAAAGTTTTCAGCTTTGAGGTTCGGATTATAGATCATTCCGGATTATGGGTGTCCGAATTAACGACTTTGACTGTAATATGCAGTGTTGCCGTTTTGCGGACTTCAGTCGATTTGCAGCCTTTTTTTAAACGTTGCGTACTTTTTCGGACTTTTTTTTCATCAGTGGACTATTTCACTTTTTACCACCGGCAAACAATGATAATATGGTTTTGGCCCTCGGAACTTACTGGAGTAATCAGTATGGCCCTAAGGCTGGAAAGTTTGGAGACTCCTGCATTAGACTAATGACACGCTTTCTCCCAACTATTCATATTTCCTCAGAAATCAAAACAGCTGCAAAATCTGTCTTAAAAGAGTATGCTGCATCATAAATAACTATATTCCTTTGTAATAATTGCATTAAAAATACGTTAAACAACACTTTCAGTTTTCACTTTTCTTCATTAAGAGGAAATCGTATCCGAATTTCTATCCGAAGCTAAAAAGCTAGAATTTAGTTTAAATCTTTTGAAAAAGTAAAAGTTGGGAAAGTTAATATTGGTAAAGCTAGGTATTATTTTATGCAGTATATAGTAAATTTATTTTTATATGCAATATACCAGGGTTTCTTAAACGTTTTTCAGTCGCGACTCCCAGGGCCCCATAATATTTACTGTGGGACCCATAAGTATTGCACAAATCCGACACACGCGTGAGTGAAACTGTCAATTTGTTCACTTGTACTGTAATATACTATTGCAGTTTTCGGTCGTTAACTTTAATTTCTAATTTTAAGACATAGAACAGTGAAAAATGTGCAGTGCTAAACAGATTCTAGGGTTGGAAACGATGAAAAATTTATTTGTTTTGCACATTCAAGCTCTAAACCAAGTTTCCTTTTAAATCACTTTAATTTCTCATGAGCAATGAGAACATTCAATATGGGACGATCACAAGCGCAAAATTCGAGAATCCCCTTGTGGTCCGCGGACCATAGTTTGAAACGCTGACTTACGCTATTCTTTATGATAGGAATGTTTAACTTTTTGTATGTTTGTGTATTTTCAGCATCTGCACAGTGGAAAAAACATCGGAAAAGTTGTAGCTAGAGTTTCATGAAGATGTGAGGACTATACCGCATTTTCACAATACCTGGTTTCCAATCAGACAAGTGGCGAATAGTAAAAAAAGAAAAAAAAAAAAAAAAAAAAAAAAGAGATTTTGTAAATTAAAGTATTAAAAGATAAATTGTATTGAAATTGCCGGAGAATAATTCTTTTTACATTCAGTTTAACATTGGATATTTGAAGAAATAAAAAAACAATGATTCAGAGTTTGATGTTCTTTGACTCCTTATTTTTAATCTATTTAACACTTCATTTATTTTTTAAATGCATTCAAGTTTAACATAACCCACAGTAACTTAGATTATTCTCAATTTATATAAAAATTGTTGATTCGAAACCTTATGAAACTCAGACTTATCTACATTCATGTCGACAATTTCAAGGCAGACCGTGTACAGACGCTTAGGGCAGATTGGTCTATATGCTCGTAGACCTGTAAGATGCGTTCCACTTACTGCAACTCACTGTCGCCTGCGGTTAGCCTGGAGTAGAGAGCATGCATTGTGGAAACCGCAACAGTGGGCTTGTGTGATGTTTTCCGACGAGTCCGGGTTTAGCTTGCAATCTGATTCTCGCCGGAATTTCATATGGAGAGCTCCAGGTATTCGTTACCACCAAGAAAACATCATTGAACGACACCGTTACGGTGGTGGTGCAGGAGTGCTCGTTTGGGGTGGAATTATTCTGGGTTCCAGAACTGACCTTGCATGTTCAAATTGGAACCATGACAAGGCCAAATCTATCGGGACGTCATTCTGGAACAACATGTACGTTTGTTTCGGGGGCGCCATGGTGCACACAATTGTGTTTATGGATGACAACGCCCATCCTCACCGTGCAAACATCTTAAACGAATGCCTTCAATCGGAGGATATCACCCGTATGGACTGGCCAGCATTCTCACCGGACTTGAATCCAGTACAGCACGTGTGGGACATGCTTGGCCGACGAGTTGCAGCCCGTCAACCTCCTCCTACATGTCTACCGGAACTTCGGAGAGCATTGCTTTTTGAGTGGTGTAATATCCCCCAAGATCAGATCGATAATTTGATACTCAGCATGCCTAGGCGTTGTACGGACTGCATTGCATCGTCTGGAAGACATACAATGTATTAACGATCACACCAAGCATGTAATATTGGTTTTTTGTAAATAGGGTTTTTTGTAATTTACTCCAGGAAGAAAAAATCGCTAATTTTTTTAATAATATCAAACATATAGCATCTTTTTTTGCTCTTTACCTCTTGTTTAATAAATAAACTTTACAAATAAGTCAAATTTTTTTGCTTCTAACTCTTCCTTTGCCTGATTTTGCATTATCCGTAATTTATGGTCATGAGTGTAATAAGACGATTGTATAGTTTTTGATATCAACGATTTCGCCCAATTTCTGCATGAATACAAATATGTGAAGGACAGTAAGTACCTTTTCAAAATTTAGCAGGAAATCGAGGCAATGAGAATTCAAAGTATCAATCGTATTACTTAAATTATTCCTTTCGAAAGCAAGTGTTGGTGCGCTGATTTATTAAAGTAAATTACATATTAATGTACATACTAACCAGATGTTTTGATTTTAAATCCAAAAGCTATCAAGTCAATTTTTAATAGTGATTCTTTTTAGAGGGGATGCAGGGTTTAAATACTATTTCATTGTGAAAGAATTTTTCTCATTCACAAATATTTTTAATGAGGTAATGTAAAATTTTAAGTACTGTAAATATTTCAAGCAAAAAGCAGTTTTTTTTTCTTATTTTGTTCTAATTGCATTTTTATAAAAAAAATTATGTATGTTTGATACGACGGTAACTGTGAAATTTTTAAAACTGAGAAAAAGCAATACGCTCTAAAACAAATTTATTTTTTCGATGTGTGAATATGAACTCTTTTATGCCCGAAGCCGATAATTTGTGGCAACAATTGCAATTTATCTATCGTAGAATAAATTTTGAAAGGAAGAAAAATGGAGGACGTGACACAAAAAATCATATCTCGATACTGCTTACGCGACAGCAGTATCGAGATATGATTTTTTGTGATTTTAAAGGGGGGCAATAAAAAAGAGTTCCTTCAACGCATCCAATTAGTAGGTGGAAGCGAAACCCCACTTCGCGCAACTGTATTCAAACTGTATTCAAGGGGTTTACAGAGAAATCTCGCAGAAGCCGAAATTCTCTCTTAGACGAAAAACATACAGAAAGTCCTTTATCAGCTGAAATGCCAGAAAATATGTCGGCCATAAAAAAAATGCCAAGCAGTGATAATTACTGTACCTACCAAATGATACACAAGGAATTTAACGTTGGATCCGAAGCTGTACATAAAAATATTAATAAAGAACTATATATGGAAAAATTAGTTTATCGTTGTGTTTCTCATTAACAGAACACAAAAATGTGCAGCGTGTCAGACTCAATCAAGGAAATTACTTAATGATAGTAGACATTGCATTATTTCAAAAATCATAACTGGTGACGAATGTATGTGCTGTTTTTTGATATTCTAAAAACGTTTTTTGACAACGCTCTGATTCAAGAATGTAAATTATGAATCTTTGAAGATGACAATGTATGCAGTTTTTTTCAGAAGGACAGGACTAGTCAAAACCATCAAATTAGGAGAACAGAAGACAACTAATACACCTAACTGATAACTGACAGCATACTAATACATCACCAAGTGCCTCCCAGACAGAAGCGAATATTTGAGAGCTCATGCTTCACAGTGATAATGCATCTTCTCATTGAGCAAGTTTCAAGTCGAATTTCTTGGACAAAAGCACATCAAAGTGATAGAATATGCTACTGTGCAGGTACAACGCTTCTGTTCCTTTAAGAAAAATATGCCAATCATTCCTCGCAGTTTTGCTACTTCCGAGATTTTCACAGCATATTTCTACAGCTGTTTCTCTAGATTTGGCCTCAATTGCGAGATGACACGTTTGGTGTTACAACTTCGCTAACATTTTATCTCTTCTCGAGCCATCTAACTGTTTCTTCACAACTGCACGTACTCAATTACACACAGTATTTTGAAAATGATATTCGCTATAAAATGGTACTATTCCTCAGAAAAATATGCGACATTATTCACAAACCCTTAGATATTTATAACAGCTGGCTTATTCTAGCTTGTTTCGAACGACGACAGCCTTTCAGCTTATTTAATTATATATACTTATATTATATTTAATTATATATATATATATATATATATTCATACTTGGCCCAGCATGACAGAAAACTTTCTTAGCAGTTGTCAATCAGTGCAATATTTTATTCAGTACGAAGTCTATCGATTCAGGCATTCAATTCGTTTTTGAAGTTGAATCTATCAAGCCTTTTTTTTCCTTTGACAACATGATAACGCGCAAAAAATTTAACTTAGTAACAGAAAGATTTATCGCAAACCTTTTAGTGTTTCCTTTTGTTCCCTGATAAGGTTTATCACCTTATTAAATAAAAAATGGCTTACTTCTACTCTTTTTTTTTACTGCACTTTTGTTCTTTATAATTTTCTCTTATTCATCAATGCAATTGTTTGAAAACTCGTTCGACTCGTTCGTTTATTGATATTAATTGAAGCTTTTTTTCTTACGTTATCTTACGTTTTACTTCTTTCTTTTTAAACTTTTTAAAAAATTTTGCTCTAACCATTTTGAGAAATTTTCTTTAATTAAAAACTGTTACAAAACTTTTGTTGTCAAGCAATTTTTTTTCAGATTCTTACGCACATTCTCCCTAGCTCGGATTTTAATTGATTGGATTCTTTGTAATTTAAACAATCATGTTATTTTCTACCTTAGTAATAGAATTAATTTCTCAGTCTTTTGTTTTTTAATTCTGATTTTAAATTTTAGAGAACTTATGAGATTCATTTTCAGTGTAATTTAATATTCATCGGCTAACTTAAGACAATTTTAAAATTTCGCATTAAAGGACACAAATCTTACTTCAGAAATGGAGAAATTAGTAAATCTCTTAATGTTATTTTTGTTTTTAAATCTTTGCTTGCTTTTCAAAAATGGAAAACATTCTTTCGATTAAGGAATTAGGCATTCTGAAAGCCTTTCTTATTTATCAAGAGGTCGAATAGGAATTTTGCCCATGTGTAAGGTGAATATATGAGCCATTTTCTCTTATAATGTTCTCCACGAAGGAGGTAATAAATAAAATAAAATTTAAAAATGCATAAATAACAAATTTGAAATGCAAAATTTGGGCTAAGTGAACATGTTTGAGTAGGATCTGGTGGCTCTAGATACCCTGATTTTTGTACAGTGTGAGGAATGTACATACCTATATACAGATTCTTATAAGAATACAGAGTATTTTGACGTTCTGGGAAATAGGCCTTTTATTCTGCTGCAAGTAGCCGAGAGTCAGGTTTAATAATAAGCAGTGAGATGTGTCTCAGAAACATTTAAATTTTGTTTTGTGCGACAGACGGCAAAATGCCGACTTAGAATAATTACTGATCATTTGCGGTGCAGTCGTAAGTTATAAAGAATAGAAAACAAGTGATGCGAGAAATTGCGGGGATTGCGTGCTTCAGAGTTGCGAAAAAATGTAGGGGTCGTTTAAACTTTTGATTTCTCTGCATTCGGCTTTATAGTCAGAAAAATATAGAAAAATTGAATTCTCTGAATGAATGTAATTTTGGACTAGAAAATTATTAAAAGATAAATTATAAGTGGCAATTAACAATGGGCACCGCTTAATATGACCACGTCATTTCCGACCTCATTTGACTTTATAAAGCGGTTGAGTTTATATGCGGTGCTTGGCCGCACGCAGGATTAGGAATAAAAGTTGGACCTTTTCAGGGGGATATAAAAATAAAATTTTTAAAAATAGACTTATTTTACATGAGATTTCAATAAACTTTTATGGACGCAATGTGCACATAAGCGAACATCTCTCTCCGTGCATACGGTCCTACTGCTGAGATTAATACTCTTTTTCATTATGCTGTTAAATGTGTAAATTACATACACTTTTTTTAAAAATAAAACTTCGATATTTTTTCCTTGGATAGCAAAAGCCTTCTTAAAGCAGAAAAACTGTAATTATTTCACCATGTTGTACATATCAAT